ATAGAATATGAACACCGGGCCTATTGCAATCTCATAGCATAAGCTTCTATAGACAAATCAATAATATTATTAAGGCCTCTTACAAGTCTTTTTCTTACGTACGTAGCTGCTTCTATTGAATTTGACTCTAGTTCGTGGAACAAAATCACTATAATTACATTAAATGTAGAAATCACGAGTGACCTCGTGTATTTTTTTTCTTTAATTTGGTAATTTTATTAGAGTTAGGCTAGGTCAATTCAGCAGAATTTCTCCCAAGTAATAAATAAGCCAACAATATTTTCCTCCACTATATGTTGAAACGCTCTTATTTATAATATAGTTCCAACCTTTGAAAAAACAAAATTTTATTTCCCAGAACAAATTAAAGAATTTTATCTGGTCAAACAAGGACTATGCATGCATACCTCAGCATTAAAATTTGCTCTAACGACTGACCAAAGTTATGCTGGCTTAATTTGGTCAAACCCAAAAATTCCCACAGCAAATTTCGTGGTGAGTTGAGTTAATTAACTATTTGTGTGTTCATAATATGTGATCAGTACATATTTAATGGTGAAGAATAAATTTCTGACTTGCAAATACTTCTAAACTAAATACTTCATATATTAGAAATTGAACTGGCGACAATGTTTGAAATTAGTGTTTTTATCATTTTTCCTCTGAGAATAGTCCCATTTTTGTTCTCATGACGTGTGAAGCAATTCTTTTCTATTTTTATAGATGGAGTATTATGATGAACTTTAGATTAAATTATCATCGAAAAATAAGGGAATTAATAATTAACATTATAAAATTCCTTTAAATAATATTGACTTCACATTTATTACTTTCAGTAATATTCCATACTATACAACTTTATTAGCACAAAACTAATCTGTGCCATTAATATCGAAGGTCAAAAGATGAATGTTACGCGTCCCATCAAATTTCCAACGGAGTCACGAAACTTTTTCGCTTCCAAAAATAGTCATTCATGATGACTCATGACTCTTGACTCTTGAGCGTTATAGACAAGAACTAATTGAAGCGGTTTCAAAAGGAATAATTTAATTATATTACTCCCATTTATACTTATATTAAAGGGGGTATTATTTACTAAATATAGTATGTAGAATAGTCAATCCTAATTAATGATTTGCTATTTTTATCAATCATTTAATTAATGCATCTAATATTTTTGGTATGCAAATCAAATTAGTATTTAATTAGTTCCTAAAATATTGGGTATGCAATATTAATTTAGGAATATCTATGTAGTTCCTAAAATGTAGGTATGCAATACGTAAATGAGGATTTTTTATTTTTTTAAATATAAAATATTGCAACACTTACAACTATTTCAGTTATTTTTTATTTTATTTTACATATAAAATTTAATCAATATTTAATGCATCCTACAAAATTGGATTTAATTTAATTCTCCATACAATTGGTTGTAACTTTTTCAGTTGTACATTTTTTATTTATTTATTTTACACTTTTAAATTAATGAAGCTCTCCAAAAATACCAAATCAAATGATTTATGAAAGTTTTTTTTTTTACAATTTTAAATCTATATACCCAGCTTAAAAAACTCATCGCATGGACGAGTTTAAGAAAATTTCATAACCCAGCTTATAAAATTCCATCTCCACGAGTAAAAAAAATCACATCCCTCATCTATCGTAACAACTTTAAACGTAAATAAATAAAAGTCTAATTACTACTATAAATCCATTATCTATATAGATTTTTTAAAAATGTAAATTTCACCTGTCTCATTACTAATATTTTAGATACTTTTAAATATTATTTGTATAA